TCTGATACATTCTTTTTCACCGCGACTTTATATCAGTTACGATTGTCACGTAACTTGCTGATTTGCTTATTTAAAATATTTTTAATATAAAGTACTCAGTAATGTAATGTGACAAAATTTGCCTCATAGAAACAAACATTTGAAAGATTAGAAAACGGTATTAGATACTTTAACATATAACTTCCCTGAGCTTGTTTTTTAAGTTTTAAGCTACAAATTCTGTAATATATATATATATATATACATACCAAACTTTCTAGTTCTGCGACTTGAACAATGTGTGTAGTACCTGTGAAAGTATTAAAAAATTGTGAAACCGAGACAAGAAAAAGTAAAGCAATCAAGTATCCGTTTCATAAGCAGATTTGCCAGAACTGATACTCTCTTTGTCTGTTAACAGTTTCCTAAGTTTAACTTATACCGCCGTCATATCCATGAATTTGCACGTGCTAAACGATTAGTGTACCTAAAAAGTCGGGTACATCCTAGTCCGTGTACATAAAGCGTCGGTTACATTCTAGTCTGTGTACTTAAAACGTCGGGTACATCCTAGTCGATGTGCTTAAAGCGTGGGGTACATCCTAATCGGTGTACTTAAAGCGGCGGGTACATCCTAGTTGGTGTAATTAAAGGTTGGTTACATCCTAGATGGTGTACATAAAGTGTCGGTTACATCTTAATTGGTGTATTTAAAGTGTCAGGTACATCCTAGTCTGTGTATTTAAAGTGCCGGTTACATCTCAGTCGGTGTGCTTAAAATGTCGAGTACATCCTAATCTGTATAATTAAAGTGTCAAGTGCATCTTAGTCTGTGTATTTAAAGTGTCGCTTACATCCTAATCGGTGTACTTAAAGTGGCGGATACATCCTAGTCAGTGTACTTCTGTCACACGCAAATATTAGAGCACTTTCTTGGGCAACAGAGAAGCACATAGATTCTTGACAGGCTGCACATTACTACAGTATGTTGCAACACAGTCAATCAATAGCCAGGAAACAGAAATTGAACGACTGCCAACAACGACCAATTCATTAATATCTATCATAGGTACTTGGCCAGGAAAGGGTGTTATGGTTATAATCGTTCACGAATCAATTTTGATCACTCCTTTAGGTACGACATAATTATATTAAAGTAATTACATTTTGTTTTTTAACTATTCTCCCAATTCGTTGTTTTTAAAGACAGGAGCAGCATCTCGTTTTGTCCTAATGGCTGAACGACTCACGTGTGATATGATAAACGTGAACTTAAACGGTAACGTCACAAGTGTGACTTCCGATAGACGTACATATTAGTGACGGTAGTAATCCAGTTTATTAGCTTAATTTCGATCTTCCCTTTAAAAACTTAAAACATAATGTTTTAATCACTCTAGTGGTAGTGGTGTCATATCTGGTACATAGGCGTCCACAGAATTTATTCCAGGTGGGAGCAAGCCCATAACATGCAAACAAGGTAGCCATCGCAGAGAGTAGGCCATTTATTGTCTTAAAGTTTGAATGCGTTGCATTGGCTGATTATGGCTTATTTATGTACACCTAATTTCGTCATTTATATTTAAATAATATTGTTTTCTAATAAATTTATTAGATGAATAATTAAAAAAAAAAATTTCTTCTGAAATTCCAGGGGGAAGAGGTAAATGCCCCCTTGCCCATCCTACGGACGCCCATGTTTTGTACTGTAACTTGTAAGTATTTTCATTACCGCCAAATAAACCGCACTAAAGCTAAATTGAAGCCAAATACAAGAGTAAAGAGTATATAATAGCTAATTGTGCCAAAGGTTTATTCTTAACGATGAAAAAACATTTCCTATAAGCATTTTAGAAGTTTAGCGTCAGAAAGAAACCCCAGAAATACCTATACCCGAGTGTGAGATTAATTAGGAAAATGAAAGGTATGGAAGTAAGATTTTAAGTTTCATCAGTTCTAAGTTATATCTTAAGAGAAACGCCATCGAACTCGGTTACAGAAATGTTATTTACTTTCTTTTAAAACAATTTGTCACAAAAACTTTGCAGTTGAATATAACTAATTTTACACTCAAATGACTGGAAAATTAATAATATTGTAGGCTATGCTTTTGTATAATTTATGCGTTTGTATTAATGTTGTCTAGAGGGACTTTAACGTCACGTGAAGAACGCATGGCTTTACATCTGACATTTTCTTAAGTTTAGGAAACGCGACTAACAAGAGTTATCGATTGATTAGTGAGTCTATTAGAGTGGATTGAAAATTGAGTTACTTCGTTTTTGTGAATATAGAGTTTGTGCTTCAACAAAAAATAAAGATATTCGTAAAAGTGTTGTACGTATGAGAGAAATTGGCAAAAAAGTAAAATTGTTGTGTTAGTGTCTCTTGTAACTTGTATACTGTGAGCGTAGTTCTATCAGTATCAGCTAACATCAGTTAAGATTACTTGTAAAATTTGTACGTTGTAGTCGATAAAATAAAACGCTTGTCGTTATTGATAAGTTGACTGAACTTTAAATTGTTATTTCTACCGAATAACCCACCCCCTCTTCACACACAAACTAATACTAGTAGTAAAGCAAAGAATTTCCACCATTTGAATGAGGAAAGAGTACGTTTCATTTTTAAGGTTGCAGACACAAATATTTTTAAACAACTGAGAGCAGACAACATATTTTACTGGTAGCATTGAAATACTACTTTTTTCGTACACTAAAAACTATTGTTACGACAGCGCGGGTCACGTGACTCTGGTAACACGTCATATTCTCAAAAGTTCGTGAAGCCTCGAGTGTTTACTAGATATGCTGTATTCTTGTATATAAGACCACCACGAAGTGACGGCAACAATGGAATGTAACTGAACTGCAAACAGAGATAGAGGCTGACAATTGAGTCGAGCACGTGAGTCGTTCATTGTGAATTATAGCGTGACTGTGGAAATTAAGTGTATTGCAGTTGTATTAAGAAAGAATAAACTAGTTTTATTTAAGAAAGGACTTGTATCGCTAGTTTCTTTGTAAATAATATTTACGGAAAATTAACAAACGAACAGATACGTAACACTATAATAAATAGACCTGGAAAAAAAAAGGTTTTATCAAAACCTGTGATTAATTCAAACACAGAACTATAAGTATCAATTTGGTTTGGTATGTTTTGAATTTTGTGCAAAGCTACATGAGGGCTATCTGTGAAAGCCATCCCTAATTTAGCAGTGAAAGACTAGAGGGAAGGCAGCTGATCATCAACACCAACTGCCACTTCTTGTATCAATGAATAGTGGGACTGACCATCACATTATAATGCCCCCAAAGCTGAAAGCGCAAGCATGTTTAGTGGGAAGGGAATTCGAACCCGCACTCCTCAGATTGCAAGTCAAGCGCCCTAACTACCTGCCCATGCCAGGCTTAAATATGAAGAAAAGGAAGTAGCATATAAGAATATGAAAGAACATTCATCAAAGATTATATATACATATGAATGTGTGTGTGTATGTAGATATACATACAAACACATATGTACATGCATAGGTGAATGGGTTTGTGTGTGGAATGTAGATTCGTGTGTATAAATTAATTTAAAAAATATTGTTAAGATATGTTTAAAATAATATATTACTTTTTTATATCACACTAATCAAAATAATTACATTAATTTTTCAGACAATTTTAAGGTTTTAAATTTTTAGTGCACTATTCTTGCATAATCGTAAGCTAAATTTTTGTTTTGATTGTGGGGAAATGATCATTTTAAAAACTGCATGTTGAATCACACAACATTTTCTCTTTTTTTCACTATAGTTTGAGATATTCCACATTAACCAGATTTTTGTATGAAAATAAGAATATAATTACAAATTTTCCACAGATATAGATTGTTAATACATTTGTAGTACCACACAAGATTCATTGAACACATATTTTATTGAGCATTTTTTTATGTGTGGAATAAAACACAAGAGAAGCATAAAAGCATAATAAATGTACAATATATACACATAGCAATATCTTAGTCAATGTTTTTCTACCTATAAACAATCAATAAACATAAAACAGCAACAAACACTGACTAGCATTGGAACCAAATTTCTATTTCAATGAAAAAATTAAACGTTCTTTTCAATCAAAAGCCAATTATTTAACTGAGCGAGGCTTGGGTTACACATCAAAATTAAGGTTTATGTATAAAAATATTTACAATATACTTCATTATTTCCTCTTTAAAATTAACAGTTTCATCCACAAGTTTTTTTAAATCTTTATTTACCTTTTTTAAACTAAGCCACCTAATGTTAATGAAATAGCATAAACTACCAATAATCTGTAAATCAGAACAATGGATATCAACATCTTTACATTAATGGCATAGATACAAAAATAAATTTGTGAAGGAAAGAAAGTAAGGAACAAATAAAATAAACTGATTAATTTCACTTTAAAATGCATTGTTCATAATGTATTAAATTATTAACATTTCCATACTTAATTATGAGAATATTTTTCAAATGTTCAAAAGCAACCAAAATTTAAAACACCACTGGGTTACATGTACTTTTGTAAAATCTGTGTTCTTACAAACTGAACTTCAAAAGAACTTAAATCAGTTTCTGCTTCAATTGCTTATTACTAGTAGTCAAAACATACTATATTAAAATTCTACTGAGGTCTGCCAAAAAAAACATCTAATTTACTGAGAATAAGGCTGTTTTTTAACAGTACAGTTTAATGCTCGAAAGACATACTTTTTTTTTGCACTTGCATATTACTAATATTCAGACTGTTGGACTTGTAATGTATGGTGATGGAGTTCACATAAGTAATGTAAATTCACTTGAAACGTGCTAGTAAAGTAAATATTGACACTCCAACTATACTTTCTTAGAGCTTGAAACTGAGGTTATTCTGAAGTGCTTCTTGGATGAAAATGCAAATGAAATGGAGTTAGCTCAGTGTGTTTATAACGAACAAGCCAGAAGTGTCACCGTGAAATTTTCAATCGCATTTCTTTTGAGTTTTGAAGTGTCTTATAAGTATGTACATTTCTATTTTCTGATTTTCAGCATCTTATATGAGACTCCCTAATAAACATAATACTCTTACATGACACCATTCTCTTACACTTGAATGTATTGGATCTTTACACTAACATTATTATTTGAAGTTGCTTATTGTTTCACTCAAATTTCAGGAGCTAGTCATGAAACTGTTATAGCCCATTATATTTTGACAAGTCCACCAAGGAAATAAAAGTAAATTTGATTTTTAAAACTTAACAGATTTCTTTTTTCCCTTATTATAATAGACTTCATTACTTTTTTAGAACATTTTAAACATGTTATACATTTTCACATGTTTAGAATAGTAAATTTCAATAAGTAAATAACTGTTATTTTTTGGTCGTAAAAAATCAATAACATAATATAGCTAACTTCTTAATACAAATAGCCAGTTATAAATATAAGTTTTGTAATATTTTTCAACATATTCTAGTGTCATATACTGTAAGGAAAAACTGCACAGAACATTAGTGATCCTTACATATTCATTTCTGGATTGGCATGGCAATAAGATCTTGAATTAGAAGAAGCTGTAAAGTTAATTAAAAGTGCTTGCATATTTTTATACTTACCACAAAAAAACACGCACACACTGTTTTCTTCTTACTTCATCATTCTCATGAACAACAACAAAAAATACAAATTTACACCCACTTCACAACATTCTTCATTCTGTGTGTTCAACTTGGCACTAAGGAGGAGGTTTGTTAAAAAAGGAATTTATTTCAGAAATAACTCGTGATACTCTCCAAATAGAATACTGAAGGCCAACGAGTGTAAATGTACAAACCAACTGTAAGATGTTTCTCATAACATTTTAATATAACCATATAACATAATAAACTGATGTTATCATGGCTTTATTGGAAAAATTGGACCAGCTATCCCCACTTTATAAATCAAACGTAGAGTCCTAATGCATTATAAAAATCTTGAAAAAAGGCAAGTAACTTGGAAAACGTTGGTCTTTTCTCCAGTTTGGTCACCCAGCAGAGGGCCATCAAATGGTATCTGTAATAATAATGAGCAGGAATGATAAAGTTTTTGTTCTACATAAGTAACGAAAATGTACTCCCACTTCCAAAAAAATAAGATAAAATAAATACCATATATTATTATTTTGATATTTGTTTCTTCTGCAAAACTGCTTTCAATTTTAATATTATTATGTAAGGTGATAACTAGTTTACATGCTATTTATTCTCCCCCTTCACCTTGAGGGCTGAGCATTAAGACTGGGGCTTATAAAGTTAAAAATTGGGTTTTGATACTTATATGCCTAGATAGCTCATTGTGTAACTTTGTGCTTAATAACAAATGATGTATTTTTTTTTGGATGCTAGTTGATACATCATTTATTATATTATATAGCTGCTTAATTGCATACATAGGAGAGTGCCTTCCGAAGACTACTCACAACTCATCTGGACAGTTGATTGGCTGAGACAGTCTGTAGCCATCTTGAAGAGAAGTTCCCATTTCAAAAGGGTCTATTTCTTTATAAGGTTGGTTACCAAGGGTCATTAGTTCCCATAAAGTGACACCAAATGACCACTAAAATAGTAAATAATAAACAATTCTTCAAATAAAAAAATTATATAAGTACAAAGGTTTTTAATCAAATTTTTAAAACTTGTATATTTAGTCTTGTTTATTACATACAGATGCTATTAATTAAATACCTACATTATATTTATTAATAGATACTTCATAAAAAATTTAACTTTATTTAACATTTAGAGATTACATTCATTGCAAAAAATCATGAGTTTAAAATATATCAATATTCTGAAAGTGACTTTATTCTAAATATTAAATATGTAGATGTAGTATGAGCTATAATTATCTAGAATGTTTTATCAAAGCAATTATTTTTGGAAAGGAAACAAAATTAATGTTGGCAGAGCTTTTACAATGTTCACTTAAATTACAGAAAACTACATACGACATCACTAGCTGTAGAAAATTCTTTTTTTAGCAAGCTCTCTAATGCAAGCCATTTGACAGGCCTGTTCTCGTTGTCACCAAGGCAATGATAGTCACTGGGAAATAGATCACGAGATAAGGCATTATCTGTTATCTTCACATGCAATCTGTCATCCACCCTATAGCAAAGTACCAAGAAGCATTTGTTGAATAAAACATACCCTTGGTAAAAGTGCGCTAAATAAACACACTAAAGTTACTTCTAACTACATCTTATTCAAAATGCAACTAAAATAATTATTTTTCCAATACATCTAGTCTTTCCAGGAAATCTTAGTAATTACAAATTTATATGAAATATAATAGTAATTGGTTAATTTGTTTTATTTTTGGAGTTAAAAGAAATAAGTGGAGTTTATTCCAAAGTCTGTTACTTACACACAATTCCTAGTGGCTAAATCACCATGAATTAAATCCTTCTTGTGAAGATGAATCATTCCTTCAACTATCTGGATTGCCATGGCAACAAGATCTTGAGTAAGAAGAGTCTGTAATGTTAAAGTTAATTAAAAGTGCTTGCTTATTTTTTAAATTAGACACAATTACTAAAACCAACATTTCTGAAGAAAGTTTTAACTTACATGTCAGTACCTGTATCCCAAAACCTGAACTTCTGAAGAAACAGTTAGACTTTGACAGTGTTGTTAACTTACACTGTTACCTGAAAACCTGCACTTCTGAAAAAATGAGTTAGACTTCGTCAGTGTTGTTTACTTACGTGACAGTGACCCTCAACTGAAAATCTGCACTTCTGAAGAAATAGCTTCAGATTTCCCTTGTTCATGAATGGGTAGACCAGAAGAGGATGGTGCACATTGTCCATGCAAACTGCAATGATTGGCAACACATTCTTGTGGTTTATTCCATACATTTTCATTCCTTCAGCTAAAAGCATCGAGATTTGGTCCTTAGACGCCTGTTCTAGAGATGAAGATGAGAAAAATTTACCTCGATAGTTATAGTAATTTTAAAAAATGACTGTCTTATGAAATACCAGAAATGAACCAGGAACATACTGATGATGTTTATGTAAAAAAAATCAGTTCTTGATCTGGACAGAAGTTCAAAATACACTTTTTTTTTAGAGAATATTACTTTAAAGTTATATTTCATAACACCAACATTACAAATTAAACACAACTATAATTAAGAACTCTAGAGATAAGCTTTAGAAATTTACCATATGTTTTAAGAAAATTAACTTTCTAGACTGTACATTATGTATCTTTGGTTTTATCAAACAGTGCTAGAAATTTCTGGACTGCAGTTAATATATAATTTTACTCCTTTTTCTGTTTCTTACTTACCAGACACAGTTTTTACAATTGCAGTCTGCTTCACGTTCACTTCATTTCCATCATCTATCAGTACACCACGACATATGTGGCCAAATGTTCCTTTCAGTTGAAAACAAAAGTAAAATTTGGATGAGTTTTTTGAAACTAAAAGGTTTGTTAAAAAAAAAATTGGTGTTACAAAATATTGATCAAAATATATAACATAAAATGTCTCAATAAAACCACACATTAAGTACTCTGAAATAACCTTACAAATATAAAATAATTTCTATATTTTTATGCTCTCCCAATATTCCTATACTTTGGTCTGAAATAGCTAAATTTTCCCTATAATTGACAGTTTCCTCTTAAATTCTCACCAAACATTTGACAATAAATAATACAGTTCATGTACTTATTTATATGCTATTGCTTCTTATGACACTAAATTTCCCAGTTTCACATTACGAGTAATTATAGTGTTTATCAATGCTTGTTTTCCTTGTTAGAACATTAAGCAATTTCAAGCTTATGTTACAGAGTAATAGTCATGAAGTCAGAAAGTGCTGGCTAGACAGGAAGAAAGCATATTTTGGTTCTCATAGCAAAAAATTAAGTTGAAACCCAAATGAAAGGTGAAAGCAGTTACTTCAAGATAAGGTAAATTCTTAGTGATGGAGTAAACATATGTGTATTTAAAAATGATTTTTTAAAAATTCAATTCAATTTGGATTATGATTTATTTGTTTGTATCAGATATTTCCACAAAGCTACTTAAGGGCTATCTGCACTAGCAATCCATAATTTTGAAGTGATAGACTAGAGGTAAGGCAGCTAGTTGACAGCATCCATTGCCAACACTTTGGATAATCTTGTCTGACAAAATAGTGAGATTTGACCATCACTCTTATAACATACCCATGGCTCCAGTGTGTGGAATGATATTTTTGTTCTGGTGGCAATGGAACACAAATGATGAACCCAAATTATTGGTCTACAAGCAAATCTGGCAACAGAAATCTGAGAATCAAAAAAACTGTGAGACATGAATTATAAGAACTCATGAATGAAAACAAATGTTGCGAACAAGAACTTTTCATGTGAATCAGTTCTTTAAAAGAAAGAAGCAGGTGCGAGAATTGTCAGACATGTAACACAGATATCGAAATACATAATGTCAGAACTTATCAGAGATGAATGGAAACTATCTGATAGAGGATGTTGCTGAAAATTGGTTCACTTAGATGATGAGAAAGTGCATGTTTGAATTGACCATTGTTAAAGGAGAATCTCTACAACACATTCAGCTTCTCCATCCTACCCAGGGTCTAAATATAAGATCCTATTAAGTTCATAACACACACACACTATAAATATGTTATGGAGGTTGAAAGACTGTGCACAAATCACACGATCTAATCCACAAGAAGGAGCAAAACAAAGATATGATAAGAGCAATCCAAGATTCAAAATCTCTATATAAAAAAAGACTGCAGAAGTAAAGACAAGCTTTGAAGGAGGCAAGAATAGCAAAGCAGAAGTAAGATAAACTGCAGGCACAAAAAAATATTAACATTTAGAGGCCAAAAAGAAATCTGTTGGCAAAAGAAATAGAGTTGAGGAATAAAGAGTAAAGCTCTAAAGAATCCTTCAAATTGGCTCAGGATATTATGAATCAGACTGAGAAATCCATTAAAAAGGCCTTTAGGAGATAGATTTTGAGGAAGTGGAGTTGGGTCACACTCCTTTTTGTCTGCATCAAAAACGAAATTGGAAGAATTCTATAATGCAAGAGGTGAATGTGTGAAAGAATGAGATAACTTGGAACATAATAAACCTGCACTGATGAAAAATGTCCTAAAGAAACCGAACATCTTCAGAGAGATAAAGTGCAACCACTTTTTATAAGTTACACCATAAATACAGAAAAATAACCCAAGCATTTTCAAAGAGTGGACTTTCCTTTATCAGGGGTAAATGGGATTTACCATTTACTCCAAAGGAAAAAAAGTTCACTTTCCAAAAGCACCAGGATTATTGAATACCTCTTTTGATGTTAACTTCTTTCTGTTGATCCTGCATCCTTTGGAATATCATGAATGACATTTATTAATAAGAGAATAAAATTGTGTTCCTTATCTACATCAGTGGCAGTTTTTCTTAAAGCATGTGATCATTTTGATGTAATACTTTTTGATCAGTTCTGTGCCATCAAGAATGATGAACATGTAAAATACTTAACATGAGTTGCAACTTACCACAGTAGTGGCAACATATTTGCTTTAGATAGCAAACAATGTAATGATAGGCTTAGCAGGTTAGTTTGTTTGTTATGAATTTTGTGCAAAGCTACACGAGGGCTATCTGCACTAGCCATCCCTAATTTAGCAGTGTAAGACTATAGGGAAGGCAGCTAGTCATCACCACCCATCACCAACTCTTGGGCTACTCTTTTACCAACCGTCACTTTATAACACCCCCACGGCTCAAAGGGCGAGCATGTTTGGTGGCGGGGAATCAAACCCGCGACCTGCAGATTGCGAGTTGAGCACCCTAACCACCAGGCCATGCCGGGCCTAGCACATTATTAGTTTAATCCCAGTAGTAGCACATTGTAATATCCATGTGAATGCTACTACAATTAGAGATGCATGTATTAAGGCTGATTTCCTAACATATCATACATAAAAATAATTTTCTAGTCAACTAACAGTCTGGGCCATATGACAGATGTTTGTTGCCATCTAATTTTGACTTAAAAATGACTCGCTTGTTCAGCAAGCTCATGTAGACTAGAAGTAAAATCCAAATATTCCTATAAATAAGTGTTTTAGCTTATATTTAGATTACTGCCAGCACTATTTTACTGTGGCCATAAAAACAGAAATAAGTGTTAAAACATAACTGAGAAAGGTATCCAAACAATATTAATCTCAAGGTAAGCTTTTTCTAATTTTACCATCCTTACTAAATAATATATCCTTTAGCTGCCCTATGTTATCTCTATATGTGTGACTAATTTCCATATATTTACCTCTTTTTTTTTTTTTTGCTTAGATTCAGGTGAGAGGCCTGAACTGTGTGTTAGCTGTCACCATGATGTAATGTTTTCAATGATATATCATTAAAATGACTAACCATTGTACAGTCACAAGCATTTATTTTTTTACTACCATTAGTAAAACCTTTAAGCAAAATATACTGGAACAATTTCCTGAATGTCAATTATCTAAAACTAAAATTGTTCATGACTGGAGTAGGATTTATTGTATCCCTGTAGTGTGTTGTGTCTAAATATGTGCCAATAACTGGTCTTGTTATTTCATAAAATTGAAAGGTTCTGTTATAGTGTAATTTTGTTCATGGCAAAGAGATGGCGCTAAGGTATAAATCTGATAATAGTATTATATACAGCAATATTTAAATAGCCTTGACATTCATTATTTTTTTCTTAGTGGTAATCTATGCAGTGGGCTATCTGTATTCTGTTCACCACTGGGGAATCTATCTAATTTAGAGTTGTAAGTTCGTTAAATTACCGCTGACCCTTCCAGGGACTTGATATTTATGTCAGCACTACAGAAATACATAAAAACAGTGAACAAATTAATAGGTGTTTTCATGCGAGAAACACGAATATTTGAATTGTTTTGGAATTACATGAACTTGATGATAAGCGGGTGTGTAACTCAATACAAATAGTACATCAGTTTAAGTAACAAAAAAAATATGGCCAAATACAAAACTGCTAAAAGTGTAAAGATATTGTATAATTATTATGATACCATGAAATTGTTGAAAAAAAAAAAAGCTACGCATTTGTCAAAAACTTAATTATTTTTCATAATTTAGCTAAAAGTCTTTTTATTTTTAATGATTTAATTAAGCATGTATGCTATAAATAGGGATTGAAAGACTTCCATCTGCTACAACACATCCCCTCTTTACTATGAAACATTAGAGTTCACACAAATCACCCTCAAAGTTTGGGAAACCTAGATTTGTACAGATAACCTGTAAATTAATTAGGTGGGAAAGTTTGGGTTTAATGAAACCCATTCTTTCAGACACATTAAAATGTATTACTTTCTTACAATAAAACATGTTACCTAACCTTGTGATAAATATTTAAAAAGTTACTTTTTTGTAGTAAGTATTGAAACATGTTGTCCTTTTAATAGTAACCATTAAGATGTGTTACCTGACCCAATAGTAAATACGTAATCATATTATCTCCTTGCAATTAACACAAAAACATGTTAACTTTTGGTAGTAAATATTAAAAGTTGTTACTTTTGTATAATAATTGATAAAACATGTTACTCAATCTTGTAGTGAATGTTAAAACTTGTAATAAACATTGAAATGTGTTACCTGATCTCATATGTGAATGTTAAAATGTGTAATGAACATTGAACCATGTTAATTCTAAACAGAATGATAAAAATATGTTACCTTCTTGTATTTTTTCATGCAACATTATCTTCTTTTTTTCAACTGCTATCTCGCAGATCTGTTCAGTGAGTTCAGATATTCGGAGATTATTCATTTGTACAGGTGCACTGGTTGATGAAGAAGTCAACCGCCTAAAACTAGAATAGCCTAAAATATGAACAAACAGTTTTTTATTTTTCAATCTCTAGTCAGAATATTTATTTTTGAACTTTATACTAAAATGCACTACTAATGGAACATAGATCTTAATCCTTTATGTTTTTCTGACTGTGGTATTCTAAGAACTTAGGAACCACATTAACTTACCTGCTATTGCGTTAGCATTGTTAGGAGTGTCTACTCGCAGGAAGGTCTGAGTATGTACAGGTACATCCCTGGGTGGATCTCTTCTGTAACTGACCAAAAATTACAGTGGGGGCAAACCACTATTAGTTTAATAACACAATGAAATTGACAGCATATATAGGTAATGAATGACATATATTACCAGTGAACAACTATTAAACTGTATAAATTGGGCTTAATTCAAAGTGCTGTCATTTGCACAGTTATGGCTTTACCTTGTTTAGAGAAACAGGAGAGTATTAATTAAACCCATATTTACCCCCCAAATCCAAATATTTCAATGACTTAAACCGTTCACTAGTAGTATCCTGGGATTTCTTTGAATATTATAGCAGTTTCAAATCCTGCATGAATAAGTTGTGTTCTTCAAATGACTAAATAAATATCAATAGTAAATTTCTCAGTTAACTGAATAAATTTCTACTTTTCCAACCTAGCATCATGTGCTCTAGTAAGATGGCAGTTGATTTAGAAACCCCCCTTAAGCTCTGAAATCAAACATATTTAAGCTTGTAAAAAAATCCTTAAGTCATTATACTCAAGACTGTAACAAAGGCCACTAAAAATTAGAATACTTTACACATGATATTTAATCGTTTTATGGTTGAATATTGATAATTTATACATTTTTAACACATGATTAAAATTTGTTTTGAAACTTCATTAGCATAAATATTTGTATACGTCATTCTTGTATTATGAATAACTTATTTTCATTAAAAAATTGTTCTTTTTTTTTTTTTTACTAAACATGCAAATTAATATAGTTTTCTTATTTAATATTTCTCTTTCCATGTTATACATACTTGGCTGTTGAGATTTACAAGCCTCAATCATAATGGGTCATAAAATACAAATAAGTGAATAATGTAATAACTGTGATGCCCACTATGAAGAGATAACGAACATTTAGCAGCAGCATTTTACATCCTTCAGACTAGATAAGTTCATATATGTAACAAAATCCAGTGATAATCTGTAATAGTATACCACTAAAATAAGTATTCACAACATTTATAAATCCTGATCCCATGTGATTCTGCATTAGCAATACAAATGTGTCTTATTACACACAAAAATACTAAGGCTATAGTAGAGAGTTACAGATCAAAAAGCCAAATATTATAAACAGTAACATACTTTATGGTGTTCCTTATGCAGGTTTTTTGGCTTCTCACATAGCAAGCTGTAGCTACTGCTGTTATTACAATGATCAAAGCACTTGCACATCCAACAGCAATATAGAAAGAGCTGGTTGAAGCAACCATGGGTGATAGATCTGAGAAACAAGAAATATGCAATGAATACAGATCCATTACTATTGACATGAAATCATATTTAACACATTTTTCCAACCGACCTTTAGGAATATTTTAAACAATAATATCAGAAATGTTGCCTAAGTTTAGAGAATGAAAGAATGTCTGTATTTATATTAAAAACCAAAAGTAAAAAAATAAGCAACAATTAAAGAAAATCTTAAATATTTTATCACCAATGTCTTATTTATCCATTCTTATAAACCAATGTGTTTATTTTCCTTTTGTGTAAATGGCTTCTCAGCTGCTAAGTTGTTTATTAAATCTTTATAGAATGATTAATTACCTGCTTATAAAGTGCTTAGTGGCTTCATGTTTCAATAACTGCTTCAAAGCCAAGAGCAATGCAAAGATTGAAAGTATTACATATAAATAATCAAAATTCAAGTTCTTGTTTGTACCCATACTGGAGAAAGCTCCTAACTAAACTGTATGGGGAATTACTGAACAAAATTAAATCATGTAAACTTAAGCTAGAGATATTCAAAATAAATATGTTTAATTCTTCCAGTTGTTAGATCTTGCTCATTATTGTTCACTTACCCACAAATCTGAGAAAAGTAATTACTAAACTTACTCATTAACATGGTTCCATTCTGTTTCTGATCTGAAAACTGAAAAATGATCATTCAGGCACCTAACTAAAAATACTGATAACATGTTCCTAACAATATAGATATTGTAAATATTAGCAACACAAAAACATTCACAGCATTAGAAAATTATAATTTACATGTAGTGATTAGTTCTTTTGATAAAACTCCAAGTTATACTTATTATAATAGCTACAATTTCTTGTTCATTCTCATTACAACCACATAGCAATGTATGTAACTTTTGCATGTTAATAAACCATAAAGCTGAAAACCAGCTAAATGTGACCCAATAAAAGACACGTAAGAACTGAAACCCTTAATAAATTCATATATTCAACCCCAAAGCTTTTGAAACCCAGCCACAAGATTAGATCTGGTACAGGGAAAAACACTCTATCCCTTAAGCACTAAATAAAATCAGTCAGCTGGTGGTCACAAAGTGTTGAAACTAAACACAAGATTAGACTGGACATTTTTGTGAAGGATATTCTTAACAAATCACCCAGACAGCACCAGAGATAAGTATCATTTCCCTCTAAACTTACTTTCCAAGCAAACTTTCCTTCTCTTTAAAGTCAAACATGTGGCATTGGGGTAACCTTCAGTAGTCACATTAATCTGGATTCTTATAATCACCTCTTCACTCTTTTCACCTGTGCATGGTAGGAACACTTTAAAATCTGAGGAATGAAAATATTATAAAACATATAGATTTTTTCTGGCTTTTCAAAAAGGTCACACTATGTAAAAGACCGATATGTGAGCTACATGAAGATCTTAAATTTATCAAGACTGGAAACTGTATTTTTCTTAAATATTTTTAAATCTAATGCATTACTATTTATTAATCATTCATCAAAATTATGTTATACAGCCAATGACATACTTAAACTAAAATAACAAAGATATTCAGTAACAAAAGCATTAAACCTATAATACAGACAGTATATATAATTAAAACATTTGTACAATAGGACAAAGGTTAATACTACATAAGTAACTATGATACCTCAACTTGAAGCATTATTCTAAAAAACTGTTTTTTTAAAATATTATTTCATGTGAAACAATGTTTTATAAGATATTTTGTTTTCTCTTCTACCAACAGTGTTTTTATATGACTAAATATCTTATTACCCCAGAAAGATTTCTCAATAAGCCAAATATCGCTTTTATCTTGGATAAAAAATCAATGTGGGTTTACTTCTATACATTAATCGTTTAGGATTCTTAAAAGAAAGATGTAATAATAGCTTTGTTGCCTGGTTCAGCCAACTCACCCTCTTGCGTTACTGGTAGTAAACCTTGTCTGTTGATGTCCAGATGCGGAGTTCCCAAGGCGTCAGTTTTATTGACCAGCACAGCAATCGAGTAGTGTACCTGGAAGAAGTGGAAGAGAGCTGAATAACAAAAGAAAACAATGCGGCAATAATACAGCACCAAAAATGTAAGTTAGGTTACAGAAATAGAATAAAACAGAACATATTGTGAGAAAATTGCAGATTACGTCACCGTTTCGACCAAATAACTTGTTGCAACATGAGAAGTTCATAGGTCCTAGAAAAAAAAATTATTGTAGTATTCTGGGTAATTATTTAAGTTATACACGAAGGTAACGACTTTATTGAAAGTTATTTATAACTGCCGTTAAATAACGCATAAAGGTGTAAATAGTAGGACGTGAACTATTTTAAGACGCAGTGTTAAGTTTGTTTGT